CTACCTAGTAATTGAAAGGAAATGAGAAGAGGTATGGGAAAAATCACTGACCATGAAGGGTAGTGGGATACCAAAGCTCCCACTTCCTCCAGAGAAGGATGGTATACCAGTAGCATTTAAAACAAAACCAAACCAAAAAAAACCTGCTACTGAGAACCCTAAAGGCAGAGACCCAAGAGTAAGAATTTAATCCTAGACACCTTGAAGAAAAATAAAGACTTGAAAAACTTTCAAAGAAAATAATAATTAAGAGTAATAAAACCACAGACAGAAATTTTAAGTATACCTAGATCTCACCTGCAACATGTTTATGACCTATCTTTAAGTGATAGGCATAAACTCTGAATTAAAAAATAATCAAAGTATAACTAATTGAAAGAAGAAAAGCTGATGTTACTATAGATAGAGAAACAGGGTTAGGACAAGAAAACGAGGCAAAGAAAAGAGCTTATTCTGTAAGCTTTCCACGTTGTCTGAAATGTGCTGTCTTTTTCATGTCAAAGTAGCTTTAGTTGTGGGACTTCAGTAATTGGATCCAGGACTTCCACTCTCCCATAAATTACTTAAAGATGCCTCTGTTTACTGTACTTTTTAGATTCAAAACACTTAGCCTAACCATAATCTTGAGCTTCAATCGAAAAGTTAAAAGAGTTTTCTCTTTTTGTACTTCATGAAAAGGAAATACGAAGACCTCTCTTATAACTACGTATTTAGTTTTCTAAGTAAAAATCTCCTTTAGAATGTTATCCATGGAGTCATTTTTTTTAATCATAAATTTAAGAGATGTTATAAAACTGCTAAGCAAATAAGGCTTATTTTTTAGTAAGAGGACTTACCCTTTTATACGTAAAGCCTGAAAGTAATAATTAACCAAATTAAATAGAACTGACCTTTTAAATGTTTTCACCTACATAAAAAAACTTATACTTTACTTTTCTTTCATAGGGAAGTCATGTACAGCGGTTAAAATCCTAATATGAGGAACACAGAAGAAAAATGAACAAATTTATTCTTTATAATTAAGATTTCTCTTCCTTAGAGTAATTAAGAAAAATCTTCTACCTTGATTTTAGCCAACTAGCAAATAAAAATGTATTTTGCATTTTCTCAACTGTCTTTGAATTTCACAAGCTTTTCATTTAACATCAGGAAGCTGGGCTCACTCACCATATTAATTTATTAAGAACAGAAACCAAGATAGAAAGTTAAATAATTACTTTTTGAAGAGCAGTATGAAATAAAAATAATTTATGTATTCATGAATTACTTCAGCTTTGGCCTTTAACCTTAACATATATATTTTTCAATTGCTTAATATCAATGATGAAGCACATGGAGTATAACATTGATGACAAAACCCATGGAGACTCTTGAAAGAGACACTTCTCTATGAAGTATATGATGTTATATCCTAAGGAATACATATGATAATATGGAATATACTTGTACATTCCAATGAAACCTAAGACTTGAAGTTATTTAAAGTTATTACTGTTGTGACAAAACATGGAAAAACCAAACCTTCCTCACCTAATTTATCTTATTGCTTCCAAACATAGAAAATGTTAATAAATATTCTACATCTCTCTCTCTCTCTCTTTCTCTCTCTGTCTCCCTCTCTCTCTCTGTGTCTCTCTCTCTCTGTCTCTCTGTCTCTGTCTCTCTCTCCCTCCCTCTCGTTCCATGGGTTGATGTGGCTGAAGAACTCATCACCTAGTGGCCAGCCTATGGTTAAAAGCCTCTCTACACCTACTTATTCTGGTTCTTGGAAAGAAGCTAGAGTCTGTGACCTAGATCAGACTCAAAGATTCTCCAGCCAGCATGGTAGAGCCAGTTAGGGCTTATACTCTGTGGGTACAACCTTTAAGAACCCAGGATCACTTCTTTGCCATAATGAGGCATTGAAGTAGAACTTTTATCTAGAAATATGATATTACAAAAGTCCCAAGATTTGTAATGATTTCCCTTTCTGCAATTTCTACTCTAAAAATATTACACAACACAGCTTGCTTGCTGTTTAAATGAGCTTTCATTTTAAATAAAGGGAAACATTTAGCATGGATAAGTATGAGATTTAACAAAATGCAGAATTGTAATTTCTCAAAAGTGATTATTTATTCAATATGAAAACTCAGATCTAATACAAAGTTACTGGGATTTCAAAATTTCATTGTGCTTCTTTAGAAGCCTTTTGTCAGGGCAGCTAGGTGGCACAGTGGATAGAGCACTGGCCCTGGAGTCAGGAGGACCTGAGTTCAAATCCATCCTCAGACATATAATACTCACTAGCTGTGTGACTCTGGGCAAGTTACTTAACCCCAATTGCCCTCACCAAAAATAAATAAATAAAATAAATCAAACAAATAAAAAGAAGTCTTGTGTCAAAGTTTTCTAGAAATGTTCAGAAGTAAAAGTTAGTGAACTTAATTCAGATTGTAAAGGTGGACTTTGAATTGTTTAGGTTTTATTTCTGTTAGCTGTTTCTAATATCTTAGATACAAAATTTTTATCAGACATATTTGACACAAAAGATTTCTGTCACAGTCAACCACTTCCCTTCTTATCCTAAGTACATTGTGTTTGTGCAAAACCTTTCCAGTTTTATATAATCAAAAATATCTATTTCATTTTTTGTAATTGCCTAAATTTCTCATTTAGTTAAAGAATTCATCCTCTATCAATCAGTCAAGCATTTATTAACTGTCTACTATGTGCCAGGCACTATACTAAGCACTAGAGGTACAAAGACAGGCAAAAGACAGTCTCTGCTCTTGAGGAGCTCACAATCTATTGGAAGAGAAAACATGAAAACCATTATGTACAAACAAGCTATACGTAGGATAAATAGGAAATAATCAAAAGGTACGTAACAATCTACTTTTCTTTTAATTTTTTATGATTTAATCTTTAAAATTTAGACCATGTATTCATTTTAAATTTATTGTGGAATATGGAATAACATTTTGGTTTAAACCTGATTTTTGCCAAATTGCTTTCCAGTTTTCCCAGCAGCTCTTATGAAATAAGGAGTTCTATTCTAGGTAATTTATGTGTTTTAGGGGGTTTTTTTGAACCCTACTTTATTGAGTTGAATTATTTCTAATTCTTTTTTGTCTATCCTGTTCTAGTGACTTACATTTTTATTTTTTAACCATTACCAAATAGAACTGATGACTGAGTTTGAGGTTTAGAGGACTAGAAGTGGTATTCTCTCCTCATTTTTGCTTTTCTTCATTATTTTCCTTGATATTCTAGATCTTTTGCTTCTCCAAATGAATTTTGTTACTATTTTATCTAATTCCACTAAGTACCCCTTTGGTAAGTTTGACTGGCATAGCTAAGTTTGTAAATACATTGGTCATATTGTTATTATTATTCAGCACAGCAATAAGCACTGAATATAGATAAGCACTTAATACCGTATAAGCTGTTATTTATTACTTTTAGAAACATTTTGTAGTTGAATCTATACAGTTATTTGATGTGCTCTGGTAGAATGACTCCCAAATATTTTGTGTATTTTAAATATATTTTTGTATTTTTACAAAATACTTCTATATTTTTTAGCCAGAATTTATGAAAATCTGATCCCCAGGAAGGAATGTTTTCTTGAGGAAGAACTTAAGTAATTGGATTCTCAAGTCTTCTCTCCCTATCTGGTAAAAAACAAGGCAACTTTTTGATCAAATTTATTCCACAAACTAAGTGTGTCTACACTTCACATACAAACCACTTTACATACAACAGCAAAAAGTATATCTGAACACGTATTTTTGACAATAGAAGTTGAAAATTATCTGTTGAAATGCTGCTAGATTTCACACAGAGTTCAAAGAACAGATAATTCAAAACCAAATGTAAAACACAGGATATTTAAATCACTCTACTTATTTAACACACCAATTCCAAAGAAGCTGCCTCCCATGAAACTACTAGTTCAATGCAGAATTCTTTGTTTCCTGCTGTTGGTAGATCATTGATCAAAAATCTATGAATGACAAAACCAGCCTTTGAACAATGTCAAGCCTGTGGGTAGAAAGCACTTCTCTTTGGAGGAGCCAGACATGGTCACTTTAAACAAAGGGAAAACTCTATTGTTTCTGCCTTTTTGAACAAGAAGACTTTGATGCTTTCTACCACTCAAGAAGATACATCAATGACTTAAAAGCTCCCCAACTAGCAAGTCAGACTCTCAAAGTGTCAAAGAAAAGAAACTAGGCCCTACCTTTCTTAAGATGCATCCAGGAGAATAGAGAACCAAAATTCTTTGCTGGCATAGATTTTCCCTAAGTATTGTTGCATCTCAAAATTGTCAAAAAGCCTCATTTGCAAAATGCTTTTGATTCAATTTTAATAAAAAATAATGACAGCAAATATATTTATTTTAAATGATACTATAAAACAGCTTAGGTGAGTTCAGTTGACTTTTTTTTATTTTAAATAAAAAGATGTTTACCCCCATCCAGTTTGGATGGGAAGTAGTCCTGAAGGACTTCTTCAGTTCCATCAATATAATAATCATTTACAATGTGTAGCTCATTGTTGAACCCTGTAGCTCACTCGAAATATTTATTTTCATCTCTACTATCATCAGAAACATTCACCTCAGGAAAAAGCTAACAATTATGTCACTGAATACATGTCAATATTTATCTTTATTTATTTTGAGTTTATTTTAAAGGTTGTGTTTTATAGTATATCAATAAAATGATGTTACCTAAAAACATTACTTTGTAGTCTCTTCTAACTTTTGTTTGATTGAAGGGCCCATTTTTCAATGAAAATTGAACTAAAAAAAATTTTCCTCTAAAACTCATATCTTGTGTATGCTTAATGCACACAGATTGGAAATAAATAATTACTATTCCTTAAGACTGCGAAGTAGGATAAAATGATCACATTAATACAAATTTCCAGAAGATTTGCATTTTGGGGAAAGAAAACTTACCAACAGTAAAAAACATTTAACTATCACTCTATCATATATCTAATAGATGTACCTTAGACAGCTCCATTCCTGGGCCACATTGTTTGCAGGGGATACAGTTTCCAGAGCGATCCCTAAATTCTTGTTGTCTGCAATCTCCTGTTTCAGACATTATTCTATGTGGCTAAAAGAAAAAAAAATACACACAAAATTCAAAGTGAATTGTTCACTAAGATCCATCACACTAAAGTACCTTGAGCTCTTTGGAACAGAAAGTTAAAAAAAAAATTCAAGGTATTGTTCTAATAAAGCTGTCTGAAAAAACTACTGTTACACCCAGAAATGCTAATTGAGAAAGAAGTAAAGCTCATTTTCACTTTTTGAAAAGAGGACAATTTAGGATGGGCTGAATAAGTCAATGAACCTAATTCTTCAGGGTACTTGAAGGACCATTCTTTCCCTTTAACACAGAGGAAGGAAAACTTTCTCTCCTAGGAACCAAGTTTATTTAGCTCCAGGGCAGAATTGCTACTTTCCCTCAGACAATTTTCTGACAATTTGGGTGAAAAGTGATATATGATGCCCTTAAGGGCCCTTGCTGTAGCCTGAGGAGAATGTCTGGAGCCTAGGAAATGTCTAGGAAAGGAATGGGCATGCAGAGAGAGCTATTCTCCCGGCTCCGGCTCCGGCTCCCGGGTTTCAGCATTCTTCTGCTTAGTAAACGTCCAGGTTAAGATCTCTCTATTCTCTGATCTGCAAGTAAGAGGATACATTTGCAAATATAATGAATTTGAATGGCCAGTTACACAGCATTTTGCAATGACTCATTAGAAATTTCCAAGTAGATTCAATGTGACTGCCATTAGCTTTGCAGGAGCAAATTCAGTCCTTTCCAAGTGTACAAGTGTACATTTTACTGAGACCCCATGAAAAAATAATATATACTCACTCTTATTGGTTTGGGTACAGACTTTGGAAAATAATTTCTGAGAATTACTCGATTAAAAATTGAAATTTGTAAAGTGTTTTAAGTTTGCAAAGTGCTTTATCCATATGATCCCATTTAAATCTCACAATAACCCTTTGAGGCAGGTGTGATTAATATGCTCTTTCCAAAAGTGAGGAAACTGAGGTTAAGAAAAGGTTAAGTGACTTGCCCAGGGTCCCACAGCTAGTAAGTGTCTGAGACAAGATTAAGAGCTCAGGTCTTTCTGACACCAAACCCAGCATTATCCACTACTCCATCCTGTTCTAGTTGGCAGAAAAATGATTGGTTTTGAAATATTTTGAGTTCTTCAGAAGATATTACATAAATATGAAATTATATTCTCATCATTATTGAGTCCTCTTAACATTTTATTGAGATAAACAATATGTTTGGGGAGGGGAAGTCTTAAAATTAAGAAACTTTCAGTCAAGGCAATGACGTTTCTATGCTGTTTTCCAAAAGAGGTCTCTGTTAGCTCTAAACCTGAATGATCAAAAATTACTTAATCCAAATTTGAAGGACTCAGAGAAAACCAGGACAACAGAGTACTCAGTTATGATATAAATTAACATATTAATCATTCCCTCAATGTCAATAATTATTTTTAAATTTTTGTATTCCTTCTCTAACCCCCTCATCCCCAACAAGCCAAATTATATTTAATATAGAGAACATTTCTTCAAATTTCCTTTTAATACAGAATCATGGAAATTTGAAAATGGCAAGGGCTGTCTATGTTGACTGGTTTGGTACAATGCCTTACTACAGTGCTATGTAGAGAAAGGCACTTAATAAATGCTTTTAGGCAGAGGCCTCATGGCAGGGTGGGAACACCACTGGATTGGAAGTCATGTGACCTGAGTTCATCTCCTGACTTTGCTACTTAAAACCTCTGCAATCTTGGGCAAATCGCTTTCCAGACCTCAGTGTTCTCTCTGGTAAAATAAGCTGGTTGGCCAAGATCACCTTCACCATCTCTTCCAGGTCTCAATCTGTGGTCCTGTAACAGATGGGCTGTGATTTTGTCTAAGCCCAGAGTGAGATAGAAACATCTAAACTTAGATGAAAAAGGCTATGTCTCAAAGATATTCAGAAAAAACAATTCCACACAGCCTCCCTTTTAAACTGCGTACATTTAACAGCTTTACACAAGTTTTCCATATGTCTACCTGAATTTCTCATTGTAGCCTAACATCCTTTCTTCATACTCTGTTCTCTATGGAGAACAGTTGCTATCCTCTGCATAATAACCCTTCATATATTCAAAGATCATTATTAAGCTTTGCTTTATTATGTCTCCAGATGAAATAAATTTCAGTTCCTTTTAACTTCCCTCATAGGGCCTATTTTCCAACACTTTTAATCATCTTAATAGTTCTCCTTTGAACCTTTTCCAAGTTTTCCACAAACCTTATAAGCCGTGCAGTCCGGAACTGGAAATAATACTCTAGTCAGGAAGGGTCTGACTCGTGCTGAGTATGGCACATTTCTATGAGCCACAAGATAATTTATCATTGTCATGGGGCTAGAAATGTTGTTACTCCATTTATTTGATTTCCTCTATGTTTCAAAGAAAAGAATTTAAATAATGCCTTCCAAAGTCAAGATTGGACATTTCTGTCCATTTCTGATTCATTAATATGTAGTATGGAAGTTAAAAAAAATATTTGAAAGAAAGACAAAGGAGTCTGAGACAATTATAGAAATCCTCTAGCCCACATTCTATTAATTATATTTCTTTCCTCGCATTCAAATGAAAAAGTAGAATGACAAGGATTTACTTACCAAATGTGCTAGTAAAAATGCTATGGTGAATAATAGTTCTTTTGGCGATCTTTTAGGTTCCATCTCTTTTGATGAATTATATTTCCAATGTGAAAACTAAAATCGAAGAAAATAAAGAAAATACATTTAAAATTTTAAACATGAATGGATTTACTTTGAATTGCCATTTGAAATCCAACAATGTACTAATATGATTGTTATTCATTATTTAAAAGGGATCATTTTTAAAAATCAACATGGACAAATGACCAAAGTTTATTTTTAAAACACAGGAGTGAAAAATTAAGGCTTTAATCTGCCTATGAATTTTATTTAAAACTCCAACTGGCTTTAACATCCTTCGTTTTCCATTTTCTATTTGAAATCACTATTGAGTTGAGTATAGTGCACTCAGTAGACAATCACAGCTCAAACAAGGACAATGAAAACTACTACTGACTTCAAAGGCAATTCATTCCCCATGCAAGGATGAACTTAGGCTATGCCTCTGGGATGTCAGAACAATCAGTTAATGAAGTCAGTGGAGTCAAACAACCAGTCAATTCACTAGTGAAAAAAAGACAGTCAAACAACTTGTTTGACTTGTCCATTTGGACACAAGAGTCAATGAGGTAAATCTGTATATTTGGCATTTGTGAGATCTGATGCACACAAGCAGTATGTGAATTAAGTATAAATGAAAATTAAGGGAAAATAAGAATCATAGGATAATTGGATTTAGAGCTAGAAGGGACCTGAGAAATGATCAGCTCAACCTTTTCATTTTACAGAAGCAGAAATAAAGGGACACAGAAGGTTAAATCATTAAGCCATTTTTAAAAATTGGTAAACTGAGTGTTCCCACAGACAACTTGAAGTTGAGACATTGATCTGGGTAATTCAGGAAAAGAAAACTCAGTCAAATTTTAAAAAAGAATGAAGGATTTTTTTCTCTGTCCTAGAAGGCTTAGAAGACTATAATTTAAAAAGCCAATCAAGCTGTTTTCTTCTCATCTACACAGTGGCAAAGGAAGAAGAGATCTCCTGAAGAAAAAAGTAATTGTTTAATGGGTAGCTCCGAGGTGTCTATCCAGTTGCATTATTGAAAAGTAAGTTGAGAAAGTCCAGGGTTTCTTTGAAGCAGAGGTTTTTAAAATAAATACATCCACAACAGATGATCTTGTGTGTTCCAAAAAAAGAACAAAGTCCACAGTTTCCTTCCAACTACCTTAAGCAAAACATCCTCTCTAGTTCTCTCCCTCCCCAAACAAAGCAAGTTACACCAGCATATATAAAAAAAAAACAAACCAAAAAAAATACAACCCAATCTTTTAGAGTTGTTTAGTTAGCCAGGGGACACCAACAAGGCAGCACAAATTCAGAGAAAAAGGCAAAATCAAATTGGCTGTCTTAACAAGTGAAATGGATGTACATGTATAACCTACATTAGGGAGGGAGGGAGAAAAATTTGGAACTCAAAATCTTATAAAAGTGAATGTTGAAAGCTATCTTTACATGTAATTGCAAAAAAATAAAATATATTAAGTGGGGGAAAAACAAGTCAAATAGAGTGGGAAAACCATTGTGGGATTACTTAGTTAACAGGTATTTTTTGATCAGAAGTTGAAATAAATTTATTTAAAATAATCTAGTGCTTCACATAAGAGGCTTTTAGTAATTGTGTACAGAAATGTATAGACTATTATCTTTGCATCCAGCACTTAAATCTATATAACTTAAATTAATGCTATGATTGCTTAATCAACTAGTTCCCTTAAATTGTGAATGCACAGGTATAAGAAGAAACAAAACCAAATCACAAAGCCTTACAACTCTCCTACATGATTATTTACATTTCTTTAGAATACAGGATAACAGGATTATAGACTTAGAGATGAAAGGGACCTTGGAGGTCTTAACTGAGGCCCAAAAAGGTTGACTTGTCCAAGGTCACACAAGTAGGATAGCAGATCCAGGATTTGAACTCAGGTCCTCTGACTCCAAGCCTAGGGTTCCTTCCATTAACCAACATTGTTAAAAAGTACCAACAACAGTTAATGAAATAATGGATTTTAACAATTAAAAAATATTTGTCATTCTAATTCTGAAAAATTCTTCTAAGAATAAAAATCTTAAATTTGTATATAAAAGTCCTAACATCAAAGGGCTGAGTTTCATAGAATGAGAGAAAAGAATTGATAAAGGTAATCAGTGAGACAGTTAGTTCAGCATCCACTTTGTATAGAGTACACTGGGTTATGTGGGGAGTTGACAGCATCCGTGGGAGAAAAAATTAAATACTAACAATCAAGAACATTTATATCCAGTTAAAAAAAATCTGACTTTGGTCCTTCAGTCTTTGAAAGCTAATGGGGGTAACAAAACACACACACACACACACACACACACACACACACACACACACACCCATTTCTCACTCAATGAAATGATAGACTAATGGATCCACAAACAGATGATGCCTTATTTTAGATGAGATTTTTCTATAACAGGACAAAATAATTTTTAAATACCAGTCTCATAAGAGACATCCTCTCTTATTTCATTAACACATGCCAAATTGGACCAAAATAGAGAGTTTAATGAAGAATTCAAAACTAGCTGTCTCATGTCTAACATTTTAAGGGGATAGGCATTTCTTCCAAGAAAGAAAATCTTCCAGTAATAACACTGGAAAAAACAAAACAGAACAGAACAAAACAAAAAACAAAAACCCTATCCTATTGTTCTCGGATCCTTTTACTAGCTATACTACTCACTATGTAACCCTGGGTAAATCACTTAGCATCTCTATACCTCAGTTCCTCTCCTTTAAAGAGAAGGGAGACAGTCCTACTTATCATCCCTAATTCACTAGATTGTAGTGAGGATCAACAGAGATAATTCGTGTCAAAGTATTCTGAAAATTGTAAAGTGCTCTACAAATGTAAGGTATCATTATGATTAGCACCATTTGGCAGGCAATCAGATAGTTTCTACTCCCAAAGGTATAGGGATCAGAATAGAATCTTAAAGGTGAGGTGCTCACCTAAGACTCTAAGAATGAATTTTGGTGAAAGGACATGGGATCAAGTGGGCTCTGCCACTTAACTAATTGTGGGAGCTTGGATGAGTCACTCTGCTTCCTTGTTCCTCAGTTTCCTCATATTTATAAAACAAAGGGGTTGGATTGGATTTTCTATACTGTCCTTTCTTGGATGAGATAGGTTTATTAAAGGGGCATTTTAACAAATTTCATGTACCTAAAAGGAGTAATTAAGTTTTCATAAAATAGTCCAAAATCAAGGGACATTTTGCAAGTAATTCAGCTATGATGAAGTGTCAGGAGTATGAACGTGAATTTCCTGGAATAAAATGAAATGCCATATGAATTTCTTTGGCATTTAAAACAGGGGGAAAACTGGGCAAAAAAGTCAAGTATTTTAAGTAATAATATTAAAAGTTAAAAATGAAGCAAAAAATTACATTTCAGTTACTGAAATGCCATTTAGCTGCTAGACATCTCTTTCTCAAAGACTTTTAAAAATAATTTTTTATACTGTTCAATTGATGACATCAAATGTGAAGTTATAAAGAATGTCAGGCTCAAGAATGATTGTGATTATGTAGAATTGGGCAGCTGGTTAGAAGTTCAGGTGTGTGGGTGTACCTTGCTAATATGCATTCATCCTGTATGATGTCCCCACTATCCATTTAGATTCTTTTGTGGGGAGGGCCTTTACTGGGTGGTGCAGTGGATAGGTGGTGCACCGAGTTTGGAATTAGCAAGACTCATCTTCATGAGAGCAAATCCTGCCTCAGACACTAGTTGTATGACCCTAGGCAAGTTATTTAACCCTATTTGTCTCAGTTTCCTCATCTGTAAAATGGACTGGAGAAGGAAATAGCAAACCACTCCTGTATCTTTGGCAAGAAAACCCCCAAAAGAGTACGACAAGACCAAAATGACTCAACAACAATAATAACCTTTGTGTGGAACCGGTATCATTGATATGAGGGAGAGCGGGTGGGCTCATCTTAACAAGTCAATCATATTCAAGGAACATGGGCAGGTGGAACTGGATGTGGCAATGACTAGTAGGTGTCACACATGCTGCAATTCCTTGAAACCCTGTGCATTTATTATTCCTTTATGACTAAGGAACAGAGGCAGCAGTGAATACAGCTGGTCACTGAAAAAACCTTCTCCTTCCTGAAGCAGATCCTTCTGACAAATGCTTTGTTGCTGCTGCTATGTACGCGTCTGCTATTGTACTAAGCAACCACATCAAAAAGAGGCCTGTTGAGCATAAATAGAAGACTTGATTTACATAAGCCAGAATATAATCATACTAACAGCTATCATTTATATGGTACTTTACATATATTATCTTATTCAATCCTCACAACAACCTTGGGAGGTGGTTGCTAATACTATACCCATTTTGAAATGAGGAAACTGAGGTGGACAGAGGGTTTAAGACTCAGGGGTTTTTTATGACCTTAAATACTCTGGAGTCATTTACCCAGGATCATAGGGCAGCTAGTAGGCTCAGTGGATAGGCCTGGAGTCAGGAAAACATCTTCCTGAATTCAAATCTGGCCTCAGACACTTACTAGCTGTGTGACCTTAGGCAAGTCACTGTTTACCTCAGTTTCCTCATCTGTAAAATGAACTGGAAAAGGAAATGGCAAACCATTCTAATATCTTTGCCAAGAAAATATCAAATGGGGTCAGGAAGAGTTGGACACAACTGAAACAATTCATCAACAACAAATAGAGTTGGAATGCCTATGAGGCAGGATTTGAACTCAGGTCTTCCTGCCTTCTGGAAGTGCTGTCTGCACTGTGTCACCTAGTTACCTATTAAATAAGTCATCCAGGCTGCCCATCTTGATAGGTTGGGTTGATATTGCATTTATTTCCCCTTTCCATAGCTTCTAAATGGGAAAAGCCCAAGACATTTTTTAAAAGGTACATCTCCAAGTCCCTTATCTAAATATACAAATACCTTAATGCCATGGTAGCCACTCAAGATATGATAAAGGGACTTAATACATGTTTATTGTCTGATTCCCAACTCATGTGTGAAGAACTAAACTATTCAAAAGAGAGCAAG